GTGATGTAACGCAAGATTGCATTTGTGTGCATGTGTTAATATTGCATTCAGTAGTTGTTATCTTATACCAAATAGCCAGGTACGATGCAGATTTCAACCATGAGCCATGTTGCAAACAGGGACAGAAAGCCCACTGGGCAGTGATTACAGGTAAACAAATTGATTTGGCATCAATCATATTTCATTTTACGTTTTCTGAAATTGTTGTCATTATGAAAGAATCCTTCCAGGGAAAGATGTCGTGCCAGCTGTTATTGTCTCTGATTACCGTAAACCTGATATTTGCTCAGTCATCTTATAAATAATAGAGAATCAATTCTTGGTTTTCCATTGCGAAACGAAAGTATACGAAAGCTATAGATGCATATTAAATTGCATCATCTCTGATTTCCAGTTTATTGTGAGAAATATCCGACTGCAAACCTCTGTGATACCAGTACTGATTGAACAAAATACACTCACAAAATGTAATAATTATTATATCAACAAAATTGTTATTCAAGCCTTCGACGTATGCAGTTGTACGTGTACTGTAATTCTCACCAATTCCGATTTATCATCAGACCCGATGTAATTGTATTTGCGCATATGTAACCTACTTAGAAACAGACATGGGTAGGACAAAAATATAGAAAGTCCTCAGAAGTCCGTTTTATTAATTAGCGGCATGAGTGTTGGTGGGTCCAAACCAGGGCAACTTGAAGAACTATTTAGGATAGCTGAGAAACATGGATTTCAGAGAAAATGGACTAAAATAGAGATGGTACTTGTGTATTTTGCCGAGTAAATATGACAGTGACATAGTTTTTCAACTCCCAAAATACCTGCAAAAAAAATGAAAAAAATGATGCTATCGCCAAAAATAATTCGTATGTTTGTTTTACTTGCTTGGGCAGAATACCGATAGTATGCAAATTTTCGGAGGCTGGTAGAAGTTAGTTGAAAGATGATGGCAGTTTTATTTGAGGGGAATGTTTATGTTGTGAGTTGGAAACATTGATGTTCGGTGTGTTTGGAACGTTCAAAATCTGTCCTACTCTCTGGTTTGTTGACCTCAGGTCACACATTATGTGCAAGTGCATAAACAAAAAACGCACAAACTATCGGGAATCGGGAATTGCCAAAAATCATTAAAAAATTCTGTAGTTCGGTTACACATGTAATTGAATTTTCAGCATCTTGGGGTGTCACTGAATCACACACAGGATTCTCTGTTTTGATGATTGATTCAAATATACTCAAGTTCAAAAGCTCAATACCTTGTGAAACAGAAATAATATTTACACACTGCATGGAACTAATCTTTTTTTAGCTTCATGCACGCTGCAAGTTTTTACATGATTGAGCTTACCAGTATATGTCTAGATTTACAATTGTAAATTTTTCATTCACTGCAAGATCCTGCACTCTCTATGAAAACAGGTCAAACAAAGATAGTGTCACGCAAAAATACCATGTGGGATTCGACAAGCACAAAAATAGTTTTTGGGTATTTTCACACTTGATAGACATCTGATGATGGTTGTGGTGAAATAAGGGAACCTCAACGCCATAAATTCCCTAGAAAGATTAGCATTTCAACAATTAAACTATAAAAAAGGAAATTTAAGTTTAAAATCAAACTATTTGATTTTTGCAGCAGATATACAGTCCGCACCTTTCATGCAAAGTGATCACCTGTTTTGAAATATGTACAGTATATCATCTTTCACAATGAATAATACAGCAAGCAGCTAATGTGGATGATCTAGAAATACACATGCCAAGAGGATAAACATAACCTACCGGGGTATATGTAACTTTAGTAGTAGAGATGTAGTAATATTCCTAAATAACTAATGTAAGCAGTTTAGTATTATAAAAGCAGCACTACCTTTGATTTCAAACATTTTTAAATTAAATATTACCACATAAAGATGACTAAATCTTGCTGAAATATTGTTTTTATAATAGTCACAAATGCATGGGCAAAGTGGCCATACACAAGGCCAATATCACATAAAATGTTAAAGGGGGCTGAGTAGTCACCAATTTGGTGAAATCATACATGCGATGTGAACCATTATGACGCATGACACACACTATTATTGGGAATGACAATTAAAATGATCAGTGAGAGGTCGTCACAAAGAGCCACTCAAGATAGGCAAAGTATTTGACATTTCAGCCAGGGAACTCAGCGGCCATCTTTTTAGCTCCGCTGTCGACTTTGCTGTCGTCGTCCGTTGTCCGTGTCAGTGTTTTACTTTTTCGACTTCTTCTGGAAAACTACTAGCCTGAATGCTTTGATACTTGGTGTATATGTACCTTGGGTAGACCTCTCTTAGGTTTGTTCATTTCATGTTGATATCTTCAATTTTGGTGAATATTTTTGTCATTTTTGGTAAAAAGTGATATTTTCAACTTCTTGTTAAAAAAAGTCCATTTGTTTTGATATTACATATATAGGTACTACATGTGGACCTCTCTCAGGTTTGTTCATTTTGTAATGATATCTTTAATTCTCTAATTTTGGTGAATATTTTTGTCATTTTTGGTAAAAATGATATTTTCGACTTCTTGTTGAAAACAGCGAGTCTGATTGCTTTGATACTATACATATTGTTCATTTTCTAATGATATCTTCTGTTCTTTAATTGAAATGTGCATTGATAACAGCGGAGCTATCTCAGACGACAGGCTGCTTGTTTCACTTGAAATAATTTAATGACATCGGTATTGACATCAACATTGGTATAGAGCGTAAATGCTATGCTTTTTGTGTCCATATTTTGGCAATACCTATTACAAACTGACACTAATGACACAGGTAATATTTCATTATAACTAAAAAAAGAATAAAGATTAACACTTCAAAAATAGACTTCTAATTTTACAGACAGCCGGATTAATTTCAGGGATATAGCAATCTCAACAGGTTAAAGGGCGATAGTCGTCGTGCCACGCATGCTCAAGATATATGGGTCTCATATAAACAAAGATGACGACTTTGTTACCAAGCTTTAATTAGGTATTTTTAGGTGATTGGACTGTATCAAAGTAGTCACTGGCGGTAATTAGTGCAAGTCGTGCTCAGATCAATCCTCATGCTTGTGATTTCAATTAGAAGAGCACGTTGGATTGTGGGAAAATGAATGTCACATGTGCGCAGCGCGACGACTACCGCCCTTTAAGATTGCTAAAAAAATGTTTCTGTTTGTTAAACTCACATTTTAAGGTTAAACAAGTATTTACATACTGTAAAGGGGGTAATTATTCACTGGGTTTTAATTTAGCTTATTTCGCTGACTGGAAAAATGCGCTAAATTAAAACACAGTGAATATGTAAAATTTAGCATAGAACACATTATCTTAATGACGAAACCGTGAATTTAAAACCCACTGAATATGCCTGAAATGGTAAATCAGTGAAATTTAAACCCAGTGAATATTAGTCATTTTACAGTAATTCCAGTGAGTTACCAAGTTTCAACATACACAGCCATGGCATGTCAGAGATACGGCTATGGAATAACATTTACAAAATGCCCGCCA